CACACCAGGGCTGCAGCAGCGGGGTCAGAGAGCAGGCAGGCAGTACCTTCAGCAAGCTGACGAGTGCCAGGTTTTGGAAGGTGACATCGTCGTGGTAGTTCTTGAAGTCATGGAAGGCTTTCTCATGGTTCTTCATCAGCTCATTGATCTGGCTGTTCTTCCTCTCCTCGACTTCATGGATCTCAGTCTTTCGGCGCAACTCAAGCTCCTCCCGCAGCGCTTGCATCTTCTTGTTGTACTTGGCCTCCATCTCTGGGGAAGTGCACAGGGGGCTGAGTGAGACCCTCCCACAGAACCTACGCCTATGCACCTGGGCTCTGTTAGCAAGCAGCAGCCCAACACGTGCCACTGCAGCATTGCTTGAGGACAAGATGCTCATTAATAGCCCCGCAGCAGCTGCCACCAGCACACAGAGCAGTTATGTTGGGACCATGGAGAGCGGAGCCCAGAAATAGCATCCTGGAAACAGGGCATGGAAATGCTCCAAGGCAGCCCGTGAGAACCTGATGCATCCCCTGAGGAGGGCACTGGAGCCAGGATTTAGATCTGCAAGGACTCCTCCAGCCACCCAGCCAGCTGTGCTCAGCAGCACAGGCTGGCAGCAGCGAGAGCCCTGCCTCCACCCAGCAGCTCACACAACAGACGCCTGTCCAGGCTCCATTTTCACAGCACATTCAAGCCAGGCTGAGAGCTCAGCCTGGACACCACTGTTAGCCAGGCAGCCCAACAGCTGTGAGCACAGAGAGCAAGAATCGGGGGGGGGAAAGTGGCCTCTTTCTGCTCCAGGAAGGCTAACAGCATAGAGGAGCTCCAAGGAGACTTCCTTAGCACGCAGACACAGAGGCTTTGAGCACATTCTGACCTTTCACTTGTCTCTCAAAGTCATTGCATAGCTGTGTGATCTCCTCCTCTTGTTTCTGTTAGGGAAAAGTTTAATGTTAGAGGCAGACAACTCAATCCTGAGGTGACTGCATCACTACACAGTGCAGGCTAGGAGCAGTCATTCTCCAGTTTCCAATGCCCACACAGGCCATGCCCAGCCACAGGGCTGGAGTCCAGCAGTCAGGTGCAGTCCCAGCAAGCCGATAAAACCTATGGTCAGCCACATTCCCATGGGAGCCTTTCCTGCTCCCTGGGAAAGGTTGCCACCACAGCATGAAGCTATTACCTAAGCCAGCAGTGGTGTATTAGGTTCTCTAGCTGTCCTCGTGGCTTTGAGCCATGAGGCTGACTCCTTCCTGCAGGAGAATTTTCACAGGACTTGCCCCAGGAACCCATCCTCCCTGTTCCTGCACTTTTTCCAGTGCCTCTCAAGTACATCTGACACTGGCATCTGGGGGAAACCCCACTCCCCCCTCACCAAGACACCAGAGGACGCAGTCTTCTGCTCGCACACCAGGGACCCACCACTTTCCTCTGCAGCAAAGGCCCTTTGCACACAGATTCCAGTCCCTGCTGCCCTGCCAGACACCTACCAGGCGCAGGTTTTTCACCACCACCTCGTTGGCCAGCTCTTGCTCCTTCAGGTCCACTTTCAAGGAACGCATCTCTTTGCGCAGCTCTGTCTCCTGAGCCCAGTGATCCTTCTGGGCCCGTTTCATGGACAAGGTACCCTCTGCTTTCAGCTCGGTCAGGTTTTCCTGGTGTTCATACAACAAGTGCTTCACCTTCTGCTTGTAAACCTGAAAACAAGCCAGAGAACAGGTGAGAGGCATCAGCAGGAGCAACAGGAAAACATCCAGAGTCTGGATATGAACTGAGACACTGCTGACTTGAACCCAGCCCAGCTGCTCCCCCTCTGTCTCCTTCCCTCTTCTCCTCAGACCTGCTGACTCTCGCAGGGCACAAGGAAAGGAAAAGGGCCACACATCTCACCCTCCCACCTTGATCTCCACTTGGTGCCGCTCCTCCGCCTCCTCCATCTCCCTGTCCTTGTTACGCAGCTCCGCTTTCTTCTCCTCCAGCTGCCGTCGGGTGATCTCCCAGAAGGTGTGAATCTTGTCACGCTCCAGCTGGAAGTAATTGCGCTCTTCCCGTTCCCGGTCCAGCTCCTTCCGGAGACGTGTGATGTGCTCCTGCAGCTGCAAAGCAAAGAAGATAAGACATGTAGGGGGAGAAGGGGCACAGCTCCCTTGAAAAGAGCCAGAGATATCAATTGTGAGCTCTGTTGCAAGGCTGGAGGACACGGTAGTCTTTATTGAGACAGAAAAGGGAGAATTGAAGGAGGGAAGTGCTCAGGATTTGACAAATGACCCCCGAAAAGGAGTGACAAGATCTCTTCCTATCATAAGCAGACAGGGTTCAGGCACTCCATCTCACATTCTCAGATGCTAAATAACACTGAGACATGCAAGATCTTATCTGCAGAGCAAGGTGCCCCAGAACAGTGCCATCTTCTCCTGTGTTTGCAGGATATCCAGGGCAGCAGGCCCATGTTGGGCAGCTATGGCCTCTGCCTGTCCTCACTGTCCCTGGGGGAGCCTCCCACCCCCAAAGCAGCACTATTTGGGATATGTTGAGAGTTCAGCAGGCTGCAAAGCACAGAGCTGTAGACTGAGAGATCAGAGGGTTGAGCACAATAGCCTGCAGAGAAGAGGCTGCTTATACCAGAAAGGTAAAGGAACTCCAGTTACAGGAGGGAACAGCCAGATGGAAGCAGAAAATGCAGAGAGAAACATGGATTCTAATAGAACTGGTCAGCTTACTTCCTACAGGAAAACACCATAAAACATAAAGCACTTATCAAATAATATTCTCACCAGAGGTACTTTGCCAAAACATTTCCACACTTAGCAGGAGACAGCACAAGAGAACAGGATTATAGGATGAGGGGAAATGGATGAGGGCACAAGGCAGGAGAGCAAAGTGCCACAGGACAGCAGAAGCAGGGCAGGACGAGGTGGCCGCTCTGTCCAGGAAAAGCTCTGAGCAGCCTTTGTGGGGCCACACACCCAGCCCTGATGTCAGCAATGAAATGAACACCGTCTGCTGTCCCCAGATCCCACTGCCACCTGCCATCCCTGGGGCCTCGGCCAGGCACCACGGTGCAAGGGAACCACTCACCTGCTCCTTGCTCATCTCTGCCAGGGACACAGCATCCACCGCTGCTGGGGCTTTGCCCCCTTTCCCCTTTTTTCCAGCTTGCTTTTTGGGTGCCTGCAAGAAGAGAGGAAAACACAAAAGTTATGAGCACTCGAGTGGAAGCTGTGCTGCACAATGCCCGCAGCCCAGCTGCACAGCATACCTGCTGCCATGGCGGGGTGAAACGGGTGCTGCATTCTGCCCAGGACCGGGATCAGGATCAGGATCGGGACCGGGACCGGGACCGGGACCCCTCCCCAAGGCACGCCCCACAGAGGGAAGGCCCAGGCACAGCGCAACCAATGCTTCCCTCAGCACCGAGCCACAGGTCCCCCCGGACATCACTCCCACTACCCGACCCAGGCCGGCTCCGGTTCCCAGACCTCCCATGCCCGGCTCCGGCCGCCAGGCTGAGGGCCGAAGCCCCCGCGGCCCCGCCACGCCCAGCCCGGCCCCTCACCATGGCGGCGACAGCAGTTGCGCGGTCTCCCAGGCAACGCTCGGGCAGATCTCGCGAGAGTTGCGCGGGAGCAGACACGCCCCCTAGCAACGCGGGGCCCGGCCTTAGCAACGGGCGGCGGGGCCCGCTCCAGCCCGGCCTTCCCGCGAGCCCGGCCCTCCGCCACCCGGGGTCCCGGGCCGCTCCACAGCCACGCGGCGCCGCTCCGTCACCTCTCGGCCCGTGCTGTCCCGCTTACCCCCACCGGGGGCTCTCGAGGGGCCGCAGCGCAGCGGGCCGTGCCTCCGGCCCCACAGCGCCCGGCTCGTGCCCTCCGCGTCCCGCGGCCCCGATGCCGCTCTGCACCCCCAGACCACTTGCGGGCATCCCCGCACCCCGGCATCCAGCCGCACCCCCGGCTCTACGCACGCCGCGGCCCCCAACGCACCCCCGGTGCCTCCCGCCCCGCTGAGCCCCCCCCCCGAGCTCCCCCCCGACTCCGGCCTCCGCCCCCGGCCCGCCCCCGGCCCCACCTCCGCCGCGGCGGGCAGGAGCGTGCGGGCTGCGGGCTGGCACCGGGCCCGCCCCGCCCCGCCCAGCACCGGCACCGGCACCGGCACCGGCTCGGCCCATGGAGGCTCCGGGAGCGGGCGGTACCGCAGGTGAGCGGGAATGGGATGGGATGGGTTGGAGTGAGGAGGCCGTCATCGCGATATCGGGCCGGGCAGGGCACGGGGGAATTTCGTGGGAGGGGGGGTAGGTGTGCAAGGGGTGTGTGTGTGTGTGTGTGTGTGTGCAGGAGGTGTGTCCGAGGGGGGTGCATACGTGCGCAACGGGAGCATGAAGGTGGCTGTGAGGTGGGGACGTGGAGCGGGGCACATCTCACCCCCCTGCCCTTTCTGAACCCCCCCCCCGCCCCTCGCGCTGAGCGGTTTAGGAGGGCTGAGATGTGCCCCAGGGAGTGAGAGAGATGGGGCTGCCACCTGCCTGCAGGCAGCGGTGTGACGCTTGGGGACACTGGCGGTGGCCGTAATGCTGCACCCGGGGGTTTGTAGCGTCGCGGTGGTGCTCGAGTGGCATCGTGCGTCTCCTGCACACGCCCATCCCTCCTGCGTGTGCCCTGCGCGCGACTGTGCCACGGCCGTGCTGACAGTCCCGGCCATGCCCTCCCACCTCACTTGGTCTTTGAGGTGGGTTGGGGACCCTGGTGGGGTGACCGGAGCCCCCCGTTGGGGTGACCGGATCCCGCTGCTGTCTCACTCTGCGGTTGACGTGAGTCAGCAGCGCACTGAGCCCTGATGCTGGCCCTGCTCCTCGCCAGGAGACAGCCGGTGAGCCCGAGCGGAGCGGCACGGAGACGACATGCAGACGGGGGCCAGAGGGGATTGCTGCGGCAGGGACCGGCGCCCCGGTGGGTGGGGGCTCTGCTGGAGGGAGCGGGGACGGGATGATGGAGGGGGGGACGTGCTCTGGATGGTGGTTACCCACCCTGAGGATGAGGTTGGGGAAAGGGAACGTGTATGGCTCGTCCTGGCCAAAGAGCAGGGTGGGGATCTGGTTTCCCAGATGGAGGGTAGGTGGTGATAGTGATGGGTGTCCTGTCCTACCTTGCAGGGCTGGGACATGGTGTTGGGACTGTTGCATGGGCATCATACTGCTTCCTTGTCAAATGCCATTGTAATTTCTCTTTCCCTCTGCTGGTTTGCCTTTGGGCAGCGGGATTTCTGTCCCCTGCCCACCACAGTGTCAGCTGCCTGGGGGAAGGAGGTGATGCCCTGTCCCCTGTAAGCCTGTCCCCGTGCCATCTCACCCACCGTCTCACCTGGTGGCAGGGCCCAGTGGTGTGTACTGGCTTCAGCTGTGACACCAAGTGGACCAGGAGCCACAGTGCCCGGTGCTGCCCCCCCCCCTCCCCCCCCCCCCCCCCCCCAGGGTCTCTTGCCCTGCTCGGTGCCAGCTCAGCCCCGGCTGTCCCTGAAGAGGGGCTTCCCAGGCACAGATCGTGCTGCCTCTGCCCAGCCCCGCCAGCTCTTCCCAGGAGACAAAACGCCACTTGTCTGGGCTCCGGTCTCTGAACAGGCTGTGCTTTTGTCTCGCCGACACAAAGGGGCTGTGAGGGGCGGGGGGCTGCCGGCTGCGGGGAATGGGGCTGATGGGGCCCATGGCAGCTGCCCCAGGATGCATCGCCTGTCCTGCAGGGGGCACAGGGCTGGGGAGCTGCTGCCCCTTCCACCGGAGGGGCACCCAGAGTGGTGGCATCAGGGCCACAGAAGGGAGCTGCCTTTGCTGCCCCAGCCCTGCACCTACACAGCAGGTGCCGGTTCTGCAGAGCTGGGCAAAGAGGCACTGGCCCCAGAGCGAACAGCAGGGACCCCCATCCCTGGGACAGTTGAGGAGACCACCGATGCCACTACGGAGGAACAGGGCGGCATCCCCATTCCCACTTCCAGCCTGCTGCAGGTCACCGAACGGAGACGTGAGTGCAGCCCCTGCACACCCGCTGCCTTCCCTTGTGTCCCCTCTTGCCCCTACGGTCCCTGCCCGCCCCAAGCCAGTCACTGTCACTTCCCCCTTCCCCCCACCCCTTGTCCCTCCCTGGATCACTACCCAGCCCTCTCAGATCCCACGGGGCCCCCACCTCAGCACCGGGGGCTCTGTCTGGCAGCTGCCCACCCACAATCCTGCTCCCCACAGAGCCGCTGAGCAGCGTGTCCTCGCTGGAGGTGCACTTTGACCTGCTGGACCTCACAGAGCTGACCGACATGTCGGACCAGGAGCTGGCCGAGGTCTTCGCTGATTCTGATGAGGAGAACGTGGCCAGCGAGTCGCCTAGCGGTGAGTGAACGTCCGCCTGCACCCCGCTCCTCTGTCGTGGCCAGGAGGCACGGGCTGAGCTGACTGTCCCCATAGGGCTGCACCCGCAGGCTATGCCACGGGCAGGGTACCTGCGCTCCCCCTCCTGGACCCGTGCACGTGAGCATGGCCGGGAGAAGAAGCACCTCAGCGACTCAGAGCTGCAACCAGGCACCCTGGACACCTTCCTGGCAGTGGAGCAGCCTCAGCAGGAGTAGGAGCTGCCCCGGCTGGTGGGGACAGACACGGGGACACGCAGAGATGTGTGCTTTGCCTTGTCCCCAGCTCTTTCTGACCACGTTCCCCACTCCCTGCCCCAGGAAAAGCCGTGCAGGACAAAGGACTCGCTATGGGACATGTTGTGTGACCGGGTGCTGCGGGGTGGCAGCTTCAGACCGTGGGTACCAAGCAATGCCAAAGCTGGTGGCTCAGTGGGGAGGGGGAACTGGCCTCCTCAGCCCTGTAGCACAATGGGGGCTGCACTACCCGGCCCCCACCTCCTTTCCACCACGGTCCCAGCGTGGCAGGACCAGGAGCTGTGCAGTGTCTGCACTGTACGGCCCACCGCCATGTAGCAGTTGTGTGTACTGGTAAAACCAACCAACCCATGGCCACTGCTCTGCCCCGTGTCCATTGCTGCAGGGAAGGGGAGATGCAACCCCTGTATGGGGTGGGGGGTGCCAGGAGCAGCAGGTTACAGGGAGGGGGGATGTGGGGAGCCTCTGCAGGAGCAGAACTGAGCATAGGGAAAGCTAGGAGGAGGGATGCAGGGGAGCTGGCACTGGGGCAGAGCCAGACCTCATCCGTGAGGGCCCATCCCACTGCTTCCACAGTGCCCACCAAAGCTCCCTCAGCCCTGCCCCCCTTCTTCCAGGAGCAGCCCCAAGGCAAAATTGTGACTGGCGCTGTGCAAAGAGGCGACGCAGCTGCGACAGACCGGGCAAGTGTTGCAGGAGTGGTGTTGGGGGACAGCATGTGCAGTAGGGGCTCCCGCGAGCAGCACTGAGCAATTGCAAAAGCAGAGGCAGTGGTGTGCCCCACCCCTGACGTAGTGTCACACACCAGCACTGCCCTTAAACCCCCCCTCAGCATCCCTCCGCCCCGGCCTTCAGTGTTCTAATGCGTCCCGTAATGCAGGGGAGGAAGAAGAGATGCTTCCCCCCCCCGACCAGCAGCATCCAACCAGGCAGCGTTCACCCAGAGCACGTGGCTGCATGTGGTGGCTGCCGGCAGCCCCACCAGGGTAGGATGCCCCGGTTCTCCCCCAGACGCCATGCCCAGCCCTTTGGGAGCACGTGGAAACCTCAGCCCCATCCAGGCACCCTCGCCCTTCCTGGAAGAGCCCGTTCCTCCGGCTCTGCCAGCACGCTCGCCCACACAACGTGGCTGCAAAGTGCAGGACCCCCACCCAGCACAAGTCCTGGCCCCACGTGGGTGGCAGAAGTGAAGTTTGCAGGGTAGCCTCCGCGGCCATCTGTCCATCGCGGGGCCCCGGTGGCCGTGGAGACAGGCCCTCGCTTAGGGCTCTGCCTCAGCCACAGAGTCTTGGAAGAGGGACTGCTTGCGCAGGCTCAGCCGGGCGCACTTGGGGCACGTGGTAGAGTTGTCGTAGTAGCAGTCCCTGTGGGGAAGGGATGCTCTGGGGAACGCTAGGAAGCACGAAGGTCCTGGAACCACCCGTCCCTCCCCCCCTGCAGCACCCAAAGGGATGCAGGTGGCTCCAGACAAGGCACCCACCATACCTGTGGAAGACGGCGGAGCAGTCAGTGCACACTGAGGTGTGGCTGTCAAAGGGGAAAAGCACATCGCCCTCCTTGCAAAGCTCACACACAAAGCCTTTTGCCTGGCAACGCTGGGGTGAGAAAAAACAGATGAGCCCCTGGTACCTGGGTGCTGACAAGGACCTCCAGGTCTTCGCCAGTGCCCTCCTTACGGCTCCAGTCCAGATCTCAGCCCAGGTTGCCCTGCAGCACCGCCCCACTCACCTCGCAGTCCAGCTTGATGTGCTTGGCGAAGAGGGTGTGGATCTCAGTTAGGGAGCAGCTCAGGCGCCCAGCCTCGATGTCAATGAGGTCCTGCAGCGAGTACATCTCGTCGTTCTCTACAAAGTGCTGTCGGTCCTGCAGCTGCACAGGCAGGCAGATGTCACTGCTGTGCCCACATACCCAGGGCCTCCCCCCTGCCCGCCACTGGGCCTGACCTGCAGCAGCAGCCGTGCCTCCATTGCCTCCTTGCAGGTGATGAAGTATGGCTTCATAAGCAGGATGTCCTGGCGCAGCTTCTGTGGGGGCGCCGGGGCCGGGGATGCAATGGAAATGGGGAGAGAGACAGGGAGAAGGTGGTGGCAGGGTCAGGATGGAGACAGGGACGGGGATGAGAGGTGTTTTGTGGGAACGGGACAGGATAATGGTGGGCATCGGGTGAGGACGGCGCCAGGACAAGGCTGGGTCAGTCCCAGCCCTGCAGTTCAGGCACCCTCCCAGCTTATCCTTCATGTTGCCACTACCCCGTGTCACCCTCCCACCCGCGGCCACACCACGCTCACCCGGATCTCCACCAGCTCCTCCACGTAGTTGAAGAGCAGAGGGTTGATCTCCCGCAGCTTCAGCACAGGCCGTGACACCATCAGCGCTAGGTACCGCATGCTGCAGCGGGACACCTGCACATGCACTGCTGTCACACTGTGTGCAGGGCCAGCGGGGCCTCACAGGGCACAGCTTGAGCCCTCTACCCCTGGCCCAACAGACTTGGCTCTGAGAGACCCCACAGCCAGAGGCACAGCCTTGCAAGTGTCTTCCAGCCAGTGACACAGTCCCCAGGGACCCCTGCCTGCGGACACAGCCTCCCAAGTGATCCCTGAGTCCCCTGTGCCCCCCACCAGCACTGCAGGCACCTTGCGGGGCTCGAAGTCCCAGTTGTGGATGGCGCGGGCGGGGACGACAGCCAGGTCATTCCAGTGACAGCTGCTGCAGTAGTAGAGGCCGGTGTAGTCGCACTGTCGGGCCTCGCTGGGCACCCCCCCTGCAGTGAGGCACACATCGGTACCAGCACCCACACTGCCACCACCACCCCGAAAACATCCCCCAGCCTCCAGCTTCCCCCAGCCCCACACGCCTCCCAGATTCCCCCACAGCCACAGCCCTCGGTGCCTTACTGAGGGCGATGGGGGCCCGGCACTCGGCACAGCGGTAGTCCTGGCTGTCCAGCCCGCTCTCAGGGCAGATGCTGAGCTGGTACTCGGCCTGGTGGCTCACCTTGGACCTGACGCAGGGCTTGGTGACCAGGGGCAGGCACTTGCTGTGGCACCGATAGTAGCACCCTGCGGGCAGGTGGTTGTCAGCTCAGGGCTGCGGGGGGACTGCAGGGGGGTGTCAGTGCCCCCAACCCACCTGTACAGGTATACCAGGTCTGGATGAGGCCCCAGATGATGGTGCTGCACTTGTCACACATCTGCTTGACGCTCTTGCTCTTCTCCTTGTAGAAGCGGTGCTCCAGCACCACGCGGATGTTGGGCTCCTCTTCATCAGGGTCCTATGGGAGGGGGGAGGTGTCAACACAGCCCTCTGGTGCCCTCTGGACCCTCAGAGTCCTCCCAGGACCCTCACCTCCCTCCCAAGACATTCAGAGCCCCATTCCCTCAGGGTCTTCCCTTGAAACATCAGAACAACCCCAGGACTCTCAGATCCCTTTCCTAAGATCCTTGTCCCTATCCTCCTGAACCCCCAGCTCCCTGCCCCCAAAACCCCCTCTCAACCCTCACAGTCCCCTCCATGACCTTCAGAGATCTGCCAGGATGCTCAGATCCACACTCTTGCACTCTCATCCTCCACCCCAGGACCCTCAGCCTCCTCAGGCCCTCCCTCAGACCCTCCTCAGGACCTTCAAGGTCCTGACCTTCAGAACCCCTCCCTGGACCCTCGGTACCCTTCCCCACCACTTATCCCTCTCCAGAACACCCCCCAGCATCCTTAGGGCTCCCCGCAGGTCCTTCAGAGCCCTTCCCAAGGACACTCATCCTACCCAGGACCCCCGCAGGATCTTCAGACCCCCCCCCGTGACCCTCGGCGTTCACCCCGCCTTCAGAGCTGCCCCGGGACCCCCGCAGCCCCACCTGCAGCTCCTGCAGTTTGAGGCGGAGGTGGATGAGCCGCACCACCGCGTCCTTCTGCCGCTCCGAGTGTTCGGGCAGCGCCAGGATGGCGCGGCGGCACTCCTCGATGGCGCGGCGCAGCTGCTGCACGTCGGGCGCCAGGATGAGACCCTGCGGCGGAGGCGACCGGGAGGAGAACGGGAGGAAGGTGAACCGCAGCCCCCGGCGGCGCCGCCGCTGCCCCCGGCCCTACCGCCCCCACTCACCACGGGCCGAGAGAAGTGGTCCTCCGCCAGGCCCAGGTCCATGGGCCGCTCCGAGCCCTCCCCGTCTCCCTGGCCCTGTTCGTGCCGCCGGGACGCATCCAGCGGGGGAGCACCGGGAGGCAACGGATCGTCCTCGCCCGCACCGCCGCCACCACCACCACCACCGGGAGGCTCCGGGCCCTTGTTGAAGGGGTTGAGGTGCGCCTGCCGGAACCGCGCCAGCCTCTCGTCGTACGCCATCGCCCTGCGGGACGCGGCACCGGCACCCCGGGGCACCGCCCGCACCGGCACCGGCACCGGGCCGCCAGGGGGCGGGGACAGCGCCGAGCCACGCCCACCGCTCGGCCCGCCTCTCCCTCTAGCGCCCCCTGTCGGCCGGCGGAGCGCACAGCGCTGGGTGGGGCTGCGGACGGCCTCGGGTCCCATGGATTCCGTGCCCCCCCCACCTCGCAGCCCATTGTCTGCGCAGCACCGCGGTCCTGCAGCCCCCGCCGCTCGCCCAGAGGAAGGTGGGCCTCACCAGCCCCAAAAAGAGACTAGGGGAGACGCTTTAGCACCGAAGAAGGAGCAGGGAATCTCCTATAGAAAGAGTGGGAACCCCGTATTGCTCAGGCTCTGTGCGTCGGGGTGCCCCTGGCTCCCTTAGAGCCTAACACGGCCCTACATGGTCCAGGGACACTGTTGGGCCCGTGCAGAGTGCTTGGGGCAGGAGACAGGGACAGAGCCCACGTGGAAGGGGGCACAGCGCAGTCTGGGGAGGCTTTGCAGCAGTGCATGGGGTGGCACTCAGCATTACGTGAGCAGAATTTGGGCATGGCCCCAGTGGGATCTCGTGGTCCCCAATTTCTGTTCCATTATGGGTTTAAAAGGAAATATTACACCTTCCTCCCGCTGCCCCTTTACTCACCCTCCCCATATGAGCCCCCTCCCCCCCATACCAGAAACCAGAGCCAGGAGTAACCGGACAGCCATAAATTTATTGAGTATTCAAAAAAAATGAGGCACAAACAGTAAAAAACAAAAAAAGGGGAAAGGGGGAGGCCATAGGGAGGGGGCACAGGAGGGGTTGAGCTAACATGGGGCTGAGGGGAGCAGACACCAAGGGGCGAGGCCAGGGCCCCCCAAAGCAGCGAGTGCAGGGCCATCACTTGGCACCCTGTGCCTCCGACTCCTCCTCATCATCCTCGTACATCTCGCCCTCCTCCTCGGCCGTGGCATCCTGGTACTGCTGGTACTCTGACACCAGGTCATTCATGTT